GTGAGCCCCCGTCTCTGCTTGATGCCGAGCTAGACGTTTAGACGTTTATCTACAAAAATCTTCAATTAGAAACTCCACTTTGATTTCAAAAGGGAGGCACGTTACAAAATAACTTGTCTCAACATCTCATCGGGACGCGCTTAAAAAATGCTCTTTTGGCTTTAATTAGAACTCGAGATTAGGAATAACAGCTCTTTAAAAAAGAAACAGATAAACTCATAATAGGCACAAGCTGCAGTGCCTCTGACCCAGTTAAAAACACGCCGAAAAAAATGTTAAATCTGCTGACAGTTATTAATTAGTCCCATTCAATATCCTTAACCTCAAGGTCAGCGAGCAGACTCCATGTAACGGCGCTGTCCCTACAAGTGTTCAGTCCCCGAGTTCCTGCTCTTTCGCTGCTTTCGCTGTAAGCAGAGAGCCTGCAGTGATGGGCGTCGGTGAAACTGTGAATGGTGACGTGAGCGGTGGCAGAAACGCAGAATAGCCCTTTTCATTTGCTAGCTCCATTTGCACGAGTCTAACAGCGAAAGCATCTTTTAACAACATAGGTCTTTATCTAACACGACTTATTCAGAGATCAGCCAGTCCGACTAGTTTGCCTAAACTGATTACCTGTTGGCTTTTCCATCTCCCACTCACTTCTGTCTTTTAATCCTCTTTTTAATTATTATTGCAGATATGAGGCTCAAATTAAGCTCAAAATGCTTGTTTTCCTAGCATGCAGATTAAAAAGATTTACCCAGGGAGTTCTGAACACCTGCCTTGAAATATTGTTCCGCCGTCTCCTGAATGCCATTTGGCTTAATTGACTTGGAAACGTCCCAAATGCGTCATTGACTATGGTGGTCTAATTAATATTAATAATATATGCTATTATAAACATCAAAGAACATCTGGTGCCCCTGTTTTTTCTCACCAGTCTCGTGCGCGACTCTCACTTCCGTTTCATCTTAAACCAAAACAGCCAACATGCATCTCTGTTTTTGCATTTCAGGTGCACGATTACATTTACAGAGAGCGAGCCAAAGCCCCACTGCACACCCAGTTTGATATCTACAATATAACTGCCAAATGCTCGTGTAAGCAAATAATATGCGAGAGTGAGATTGCATTGACGGGGATATATGGCTGTAAATCTTAAAGCCTATTTCCATATGAAATGAATCACTTGTCCAAGCCCAGCTGCATGCTTTTTTTTCGCCCATAGACATGGCTCACTTGAGGCATTTGTTTATTTATTTGCCCCCTTTTTTTGTTTGTTTTTTAACACCCCCCCCTCCGCCGTGTGCATCTAGTAAGACGCGGATACCTCGCACGCATCACTTCATCAGACGTTGTGCGCTAGGTGAGAGAGGCTGGGGTTGTAATGACGCAGTAATTGGAGTTTTGGTTGATAAATCTAAAGCTCTAAAATTACTCCCCTCACATAACGCGAGCCCCGGCACTGCGAGTAAATCTTAAACTGATTAAGTTAGCATGAACCAGGCAATCACAAAGATGGCACCCCGTCCAAAAAGGAAGGGAGCCTTTACTCTTTGTGTTGTTTTTACCTCGCCGAATGCGCGCTGGCGAATGGTTTTAGGAAGGGCCGCATCGAGAGATGAGGTCAGATGTGTGTGTTTTCTGCGTTTGCAGCAAGCCGTTAATGTCATCGTAATTTAAGCCGCAGAATAATTGAGATATATAGTGTGTCTCTGAGTCTTTCCATTAAGATGTTTGGATTTTTTTTTGTGTAGCATTACTGGAGACAAGGGTGTGGCACGGTTAAAGGTCTTTTTCCCGCTCTTGGACGCCCACGCACTTCGCCAGTTTCCACCCACGCCAGCGTTAAATCAAACCCACTTCACAGAGCAACATGGACGTAATTTTGGGGGGGGACAGGGGGGACATGTCCCCCCCACTTTTTCCAAAGTCAAGTTTTGACCCCCTGCACTTTTTACCATCCAAAAGCAATATTACACTATTACCCCCCCCCCCCCCATCCCCCGTGTCCCCCCCCACTTCTAAGGTGAAAACTACATCCTTGCAGAGCAACATATACGGTGTGAATTGGGAGAACTGACTTTAGTTCAAGGGACACAATTTTTCCATTTCAACTGTGACTTTTCAATCTCATTAAGGTAGAGCTCCATTTAATTAACACGCGGATGCTGTTTGTAACGCTTTTGTAGATCGTAATAATTTACAACAGCCTTATTTTAAATCACCATTCGAGTAAAAATGACAGTTTTCCTTCAAAAGTTAGAAACAAAGTAGAGCGACTACTACAGATCATTAGATTTAGATTTAGCTCAGAGAATTTCCTCAGGGTCAGGTCTTAAGGTGTATGAAATTGATATTTCTGCGGCAGGGATGAATCACTGCAGTAACTCAGGTATTAGTCCATTAAAGAAGAACAATAAGGCATCAATATGCATAGAATTAAATTAATGGTGGTGGGTTTATCTCCCCATCCCAGACGCATCCCTAAAAGACACAGTATAATGTATGACCTGACCTTCAAATGCCAGGAGAGTGTTGGGCAATAAACTGCCAATATTTGTGGCTTAATGGCGTCGGATGACTTTTACTGTAATTGGAATGGCAGCGAAACAGCTGGGCTGTTTAAAGACAGTGCAAGGCAGAGGTCTGAGACAATCACTAACTCAAAATGGTCACAGAGAGTGTGTTTAACCCTGCAGGGGATGTCTCTGATGGCTGTGAGGATGAAAGTGTAGGTAAACAGAGGCAGGAAGACATTTAGATTACCTTTTAATTTAAAGTTACGGCGTGCGAGATCAAACCTCCGATCCAGACGGATATTAATCACGAACTTAAAAGAGAAAAACGACTCTTTGTCATTCTTCTCAATAACACACTTTGTACTTTTTGAATCATGTTTGCAACGTGTCGTTTTTCAAGTGTGAAGCAAAAATAAACTCGTCCGCAGAAGACGGTTTTGGTTTAATCAGAACTGCTCACATGTTGGACTTTGTTATTTCTGACTGGGAAATCCACTTATTGCCTTTGATGGAATATAGCTCATGTCTGCAACATCTGCCGTGTTCTAGTTGCTTAACAATTTCACTGTTTATTATTTCTGGAAGAATCTTGTTTGCCGTTAACATCTCTGGGTGTATTTATTGCACATGGTGGTGGCGTCCATACTGTAAGATGATGGATCACTGGAGCTGAAAGCTGATTACAAGCTTGATTTACTGCAGGGCAGCACTTAAATCATTCAACTCAGCCTGGTGTGAGATTGCAACATTTTTCATGTTTAGACAACTGGTCTTGGTGCATATAGAGCAAAAGGCTCAGAATGTCTCATAAAACCGTAGCTTCTTCATTTGATTTGAATCTTATCGGGTCTTTTCTGCTGTTGTTGTCTGTGTCAGGTGAGAAAGTCTACAGGTGTCCGCTCTCCGGCGACTACACCGCCCAGATCGGCTTCCACCTGGACCGCTACGGTTTCCCTCACTGGCAGAACAGCACAGCTCTTTCTCCTCCTTTGCAGTCCAGCGTTAGCAGCAGAAGCTCCAGCCCCAAACCTAAGCTCAGACCCCGATCCAGTGGGGACTTGAGCCCTGCAGCCGGTCAGTTCGTAGGTCCGGAGAGCCACAGCGAGACGGTCCTGACTGTCAACAAGCCGACCAGTCACACAGATGACGATGGAGGTGTAAACATCTCTGTATCCAGTCCAACCAGAAAGTCCCAGCATGAACCTTTGGATCTGTCTGTCAGGCCTGAATCTGTCACGTCTCATCCAGCCATGTCTCCTGCTGTACTGCTGCAGATGTCTGGCCTTTTTAGTAATGGGCTCTCGTCCGCCGTTGCCCGCCGGCTACAGAGTTACTCTAATGCACCGGCTGAACTCAGTATGAAACCCGCATATCAGTGTGACCTTTTGGTGCACAGAACACAAGAAGAGATGCACTCACAAAATGTAGGCTCGGTGGGTCACGATGAAGAGGGGGAGTTTGAGAAATCTGAGCAACGTAAGGAGGACAACGATGATGCTGCCATGTGGAAGATGCTGAGTGTTCTGGAGTCAAAGGAGATGGGACAGCCCGGTGCTGCTTTTGAGGCTCCAGGAGAGAAGAAGCTTGGACTGTGGGGGAGAGCCGCGGCTGAATCTCCCATCTCCTCTTTTGAGAGCTTGACTCCAGATCCGCTCATGCACCAGGGGGCTCTGCTGTCCTTCCTCAGATCCCAGGGGAACCTCAACACCACGTCTGCCAGTGCCCAAAAAGCCAACATGAGCATGGAGAAAGATGCTGCACCAGGTGAGCATTCACTTATTTTTCATATTCATTGAAAGCAGCTGCCGGAGATACCAGGCTGCAGCCCAAACTGATTTCACATTTGAGGGTGTATATTGCCACCTAGTGGACAAATACAGGCTGGACCTGTTTTCCCACGGACAAGACCACAGAGGTTAACTGGTGCACAAACTTTACGTCTCCTTCCAGCTCCCGACTTTGCCAGCCACAAGGATTCAGCGACAGAGTTCCAAAAAGAGTTTTTGGCAGTATCTCAGCCCTCATCCCCCAACAGTGGGAGTGTGAAGAGTGAGTGTGAGTGTGTGTGAATCATGCCAATTATGAACCACACACTTCCCTTATACTTATAGCACTTGAGATATTTTCCCCTTCTTCTTCTTCTTCTTCTTCTCAGATCTTATCTCTATCTCAACAAAAAGAAAGGTCTAAATAAGACACAGGTGTGTGGCACTGATTAGCTGCACACTTTAAAGGATGATACAATCTCCTTGTGTGATAGGTTACCAATCGCCAGGCCGATGGAGCCCACTGATGGAGAGGCTTAAGCTCTTGTGCTGGTGTGATATGCTTGCTGAGTGCAGATTTAATAATGCTGTCTCTCAGGAGAGGGAATCCAACAGCTGGGGTCTTTGATATGCATGTATTATGAGTGCAACATGATACACCTTCCTTCTGATCCCCCCCCTCCCTCTCTTATTCAGAAACTCAATATGTTCATGTGAAAGACAGGGAAGTGCCTGTCAACTCCATTAGGGACTAACATCTGTTCCCCTTCTTTATGATTCTTACAGCAAGATGTAGTTTTCTATTTGATTGTACAGATGGTTATTATAATACGTCTCCCCCCTCCCACCACCACTTCCTGTCTCAGCCGTCTCTCTGTTCATGTTTCTTTCTCTGGCTTATTGTTTGTTATGCCAATTGGATTAAATCATTACAGCAGGACCAAGGAAGTCTGGGAAGTTTGTGCTGCTCGTGTGAGAACAGCTCTGATTTTAATGCTGGAGAACAGCGATCATTAAAACTCATATTTCCCATAGTTCTGCTTGCCTTTAGTTTTCAGCAGCCTGATCAATGCGAGCTATTTTAAGTGCCCCCTTGCCTCCTGTTTGCCGCAGATCGATCCGTTTCTCTCGTCCCTCAGGACGCAAATGTCAAAGGCACAATAAACACCTGTCAGTCAAAGTGGACACAGAGATGAGCCGCTGACATTGAGAATTCATGGAGTGTCCTCCAAAAGCGAGCCGAGCAGGTGGGCCAGCAGTCTGTCCTGTCCACGCTGATGACCAGGTGGCTTTGTCACTGCGCTGTCTCCTGTAGCCCCCATCCTCTCCATACTGTATGGCACGTCGAGTGGCATGGTGACATATTGCTGGGCAGTTTGGACATGGAGTGATGTGTTTGTGATGACAGTTCGGGTCGGCTTCAATGTGCCAGCAGTGGTAATTGGCCAGATGGTGACCTCTGGTTGAACCTGTTTGCATGCTCATTAGTCTCATTGAATCCTCCCTTGTGTGTTACCCTTTCTGCTGCACTGCGTCAACTCCACCACTAGATGGCAACATTTACCACTTTTTTGCACGCAGCACAGTTCTCAAGCACCTGCAATGAATAAATATTTCTCAAGTACAAGTAAAGAACTTTATTTTATAGTATTGTCCAGCTGCACAGTGAATATTTTTGGTTTAAAGTCAAATAAACAAAATACGACAGCTGGGGATTTTCCTCGGCGACATCAGATCAGACTTCTCAGATGCATGAGAACATGTGAATATGAGAAGATCAATAAAGAAAGGATTAAGAATGAAAGAACATGGAGGACAGAGAGAAAGAAAAGGCCTCGATTTGAAAAGTTGAAAAGGGTGAGTCATTATCTCTTTGTCTGACCTCTGTGTACCCTCCACGGACAGGGGGACAGGGAGCGAGAGAGAAGAAAAGAGAAAAGAAGCGAGAAAGATCATCATAGATGGAGATAGATGGTGCGACAGCGAGGTGAAAGAGGAGCGGTAGTGTGGCTGTCTCCATGAGCAGATGTCGTTTGAGGGCAGCGAGAGGGCAGCGCAGCCTGCCTTTGTGCCGTGTTTCTCCCCATAGAGATAATGAAGGGTGGAGCTCTGGGAAAGATGTGCAGTCATCACTCACTGTCTGTGTGCCATCAGAGCCCAGGCCTGTGTCATCCGTCACCATTCAGCTCCACGGGCCCCCGTCGGCCACGCCACTGTCATCATGGCCATTATCCCAGCCTATGACCCCCCCCCCCACACACACACACACACTCTGCTCTCACTCGCAGACGCTCAACGCAAACACACACTTACGTCCACGCAGGTGCAAACATAAACGTGTGCAAAGCCTCACACGAAGGATAAGAAATCCATTAGATGTCCAAGGCCTGCGTGAAATGTATTCGTTCTAGGATAAATGCTTTTACAGGTAATATATATGTCAGACATAAGAGCAGGTGAATGTAATATTACAGGATTTAGGTTAAAAGTTAAAAAATACCTAAAACAACAAAACTATTATAAAAATAAAAAAATCTGAAAGTCTAGAGGAACACAATTTTTTTTCTCTTCTTATTGTTTATTACTAGGGATGCACCGAAACCGATACCGGTATCTGTAAAAGTTAACCGATACCAGGAACCGATACCAATGCAGTTGCTTGAAAGTGGCTTCGCTGTAACTTATTTTGTTCACCTAATATTTTAGTTTTGTGATCATTTCGATTAATGTTTTACTTTTTATCTGCCTCATAGTCTTTTCCTGTTGAACGCAAAGAAGAAAATAAAACTGTGTTCCAATTCACTGCATTTTTTTGGTGTGGTAGAAGTATCGGTAATCTGTATCGGCGAGTACTCAGATCCAAGTATCGGTATCGTATCGAATCGAAAAAAGTGGTATCGTTGCATTCCTAGTTATTACAGTTATTATTAATAATTGACTAGTTCTAAGGTATTTACTGTAGGTTACAAATAAAAAAAATTACATTAACAACACATTTTATTTATATGCAATTACAACTAGTGTGTTAGTTTGGCTTATGAAAAAGAGGTAAACAAACTTACTAGCCGGCCTTTTTAATTGCTACCACGTCTTTGTTTTAGTTCATTCTGCTCAAAAATGTACCTTGATCATTCGGTTTTTCATGGCTGATTCGACCTCACGGTGCAGGATGACACACCTTTAGAGGTCTGTTACTGATTAACCAGTTCCTGAGCTTAAATCTGAAAACTAAGACGAAACTTTTATTGATGCAGGACGTATCTCGTGCCACAAGGTTTACAAAACAAATGCATTTTCTGCAAGATTCTTCAGTGATGAGGTCATTATCGTTTCCTGTAACAAAAGGGATTTGAACGGCGAGTCAAAACGGACATAATCAAAGCTTGATTTTTCATTTCTGAGATTTCAAAGGCAGTAAAATGTCGAAACAAAGGGCTTCACAGAAAGATCCAAACAAGAAGACACAATCTGAAAATAACCAAAACAAGCAAAGCAAGTTAAAACAAGAAATATTGTAAAACAATAAAGGTCATCCCACGACGATGAAGAAATAAACAACAGAATAAATGCATGTGTAATGTGGAAACACCAGAGCGGTTCTATACTCCTAACATGAGAACTGTGACAAATGCAAAAGAGTCAGAAAACACGTCTTTCTTGGATGTAGATTAGGATTGAGATCAAAACTAAAAAAAATATTGTTTCATTAGAACCCAAGAACCATTGTCTTCTTTGGAAAATTATGAACTATGCATTAAACGACTTATATAAGTAGACTGAACACCAAAATATCCACTTTTGCAATATTAACCCTTTATTCCCTGATTTAGGATATGGGTCAAATTTGACCCATTGGGCTTTAGGCATATCATTTTAAAAAATCACAATAACAAACACTGTCAAATTAAACTATTTTAAAGTTAGGTAAATAAATCAACCACACAGCTACATTTAACAAGTTTTTTTTTCTTTATTTGTTGCATGTCAGAACTGGATTCAGTTTGAAACAGAAGAACACGAGGCGCAGTTTTCACAGTCACTGCATATCAGTTTTGAGTTCCTTGCACACAGTTTAATGATGGCAATGTTCATTCTTGACAGGCCAATGGGCGATTTGGTCGAAACAAACATCTGCACTCTTGTAAATTTGAACAAATTTTTGTGGTGGCGGGGAGGAGAGGCCAGAAGTTGTTGGCCTACCCCAACTTCTTGCTGTTCCAACTTGAACCAAGCCTTCAGCAACCAAACCCTGAAACTTGCGAAGTTTGAGTACTTTCGATGTTGGGATTCCCTGGGCCTCACAGTCACGCTGGTAAAGAAGCCATGCATTGATCACAGCAACAGACAAAAAATGTCAGAAAAGTGTCATTTACCAGCAACGGGTCCTGATGGGAAACTTGCAGCGTACAAGATGTGCATCCAGCATGTCAACTCCTCCCATAGAAGCGTTGTACTCCTTGATGATGTTTGGCTGATCAATGTTGATGTACTCTTTTTTGGACTTGGCGGCGGGCTTTTCCCAAAGGCTCTGGTCCGGCATATGTTGACATCAAAGTGACTGCTTTTGTGTCTTGCCATTTCAAACACACAGTATTGGTGTTGGACTCGATTCAATTCGATGATCATATGATCCACAGCCTTTCTTGGACAGGTCTTTGTCTGTCATCAGGGTGCACTTTGACATGCGGCCTTTTCGAACAGTTCCTGTGTTGAAGATTCCCTTTACCAATAATTTCTCAATGAGGGGCACTGAAGTGAAGAAATTGTCAGCGAAAATCAGGAAACGTACTTTCTCTGCAAGCGAGTTGCATAGCTTCACCACAATGTTGGCATCTCCTTTTCCCTGACATATATCAAAATCGTGCAGGAAGCCAGTGACACAGCAGTGCCCCCACACTTTGAATCCCCACGGATGTGGCTTCCCTTTGATGTACTGCCTTATGCCACCAAATTTTCCTTTGTACGGCACCATCAGCTCATCGATGGACTGTTTTTGGCGAGGCGCAATAGTCAAACATTGTCTCAGAAAAGAGTCCAAAAACGTTCTTAGCTTCCACAGTCGATCCTTTTTTACTTCTTCACTGGCCATTTCATTGTCTACAAAGTGAATGACAGAGAGTAGCTGGCTGAATTGGTTGCGACTCATTATGTCTGCCCCAGGCCCATAACGAACTTCGTTTTCCCAGTACTGACATACTCCAGACATTTTAACGAATCCCATCCTGAGATACAGTCCAAGAACTTGTTCTATCTCTTTTACTAAAGTGTCAACACGTTTCCCAT